AGCGTTGTATCAATAACAGACTGTAAAAGGTTGTTGACCTCTGACCTTTGATGGAAAAAGGAGAGGTGTGGCTGCGTTCTTCCATCTTTCATGCTTCAGTCAAATTATCCTCCTTTTATTTTTATTTCCTTGATGACTTTAGAGTGCAATCATTATTCTTATTCTATGGTTAGTGTTTGGCATTACAACGAATGAAAAGGCCAGGTATAGTAGTATTTGTGGCAATCCTGTCTCTCGCCAGGCTCCATCTCTCTTCTCTTGCTGATGCTACCTCCTGGGACCCACACACACCAAGTCCCGCCCCCTGTCACTCCAGCAGGCACAGCTGGCTGTTGGATTCACTCAGTCAGTCTGCATGCTGCTGTTAGCTCGGCCAATGCAGCTGTTAGCTCGGCCAATGCTGCTGTTAGCTCGGCCAATGCTGCGTTAGCTCGGCCAATGCTGCTGTTAGCTCGGCCAATGCTGCCGTTAGCTCGGCCAATGCTGCCGTTAGCTCGGCCAATGCTGCTGTTAGCTCGGCCAATGCTGCCGTTAGCTCGGCCAATGCTGCCGTTAGCTCGGCCAATGCTGCCGTTAGCTCGGCCAATGCTGCCGTTAGCTCGGCCAATGCTGCCGTTAGCTCGGCCAATGCTGCCGTTAGCTCGGCCAATGCTGCCGTTAGCTCGGCCAATGCTGCCGTTAGCTCGGCCAATGCTGCTGTTAGCTCGGCCAATGCAGCTGTTAACTAGGAAATACAAATAAAAAAGGAGGATCATTTGACTAAAGATAAAGCATGAAAGAACGCAGCCACACAAAACACCTCTCCTTTTTCCATCAAAGGTCAGAGACAAACAACAACCTTTTACAGTCTGTTATTGGTACAACGCTTAAGGGTTAAAGGTTACGGACGTTTTAGTTGTGAGACATCTTGTTCATCTGATGGACATCTTGTAATATTATAGAGGATCTTGAGAAAGAGCAAAGAGTCATTTCATAGGTTTTATAACACTACAATCAATATAGTGTATAATCCCATGGGCTGTGAACTACCGAGTGCCCTGAGTTGTGTCAGTCTACAGAAACAGACGAGAGATGAGATATTGTCAAGGCAATATCTTTTAGATACACAACACACAGTATAACAGAGGGAGGGAAGTGGGAGGAGATTCCACTGTTCAACATCACAATCTCCTAGTGTGTAAGATTTCTGCTCTCTCTCCGCTTCCCTCCCTCTCTCTCTCTCTCTCCGTCTCCCTCACTCTCTCTCTCCCCGTCTCCCCCACACTCTCTCTCTCCGTCTCCCCCACACTCTCTCTCTCAGTCTCCCCCACACTCTCTCTCTCAGTCTCCCCCACACTCTCTCTCTCCGTCTCCCCCATACTCTCTCTCTCCGTCTCCCCCACACTCTCTCTCTCCGTCTCCCCCCACTCTCTCTCTCCGTCTCCCCCACACTCTCTCTCTCCCGTCTCCCCCCCACTCTCTCTCTCTCCGTCTCCCACACTCTCTCTCTCTCCGTCTCCCCCACACTCTCTCTCTCTCCGTCTCCCCCACACTCTCTCTCAGTCTCCCTCACTCTCTCTCCGTCTCCCTCACTCTCTCTCCGTCTCCCTCACTCTCTGTCCGTCTCCCTCACTCTCTGTCTGTCTCCCTCACTCTCCGTCTCTTCCTTTCCCTGTTTCTCTTTCCCAGAAGACTTTATAGATATTCAGGCATTAGGGGAAACCATAGGGGGTTTGGATTTAATATACCTTTTAATTACTGTACTCTCCCTCTTTTAGTCTCTCTCCCCACTTTCTCTCTTTCGCCCTCTCTCTCTTTTTCAAGGGTGTGGAAGAGTGGAGAGGGATGAGGAAGAGGAGAGGGAGGAGGAGAAGAGGGATGAGGAGAAGAGGGATGAGGAGGAGAGGGATGAGGAAGAGCGGGATGAGGAGGAGGAGAGGGGATTTGACCTTTGACACTGCAGGTGATTTAAAGAGCAGGAAGATGGTTTTAATCCTACACACAGACACATAGTTCATTAAGCTTGATCTGACGTCAGCAAAATTGATTAATTACGCTCTATTATAAAATTGATGTTTCCACCATTATAACTGTGTGTGTGCGTGCGTGCGCGTGCTTGCGATAGAGGGAAGCACAGAAAGACATAAAACCCCTGTCTCTCTCTTATGTACACACTCTCTCCTTCCTCTCTCTCTCTGTGAGTAAAGACGGCTATAGAAAGATAGAAGGAGAGGGGGGTGAAACGGAGAGAGAGATATGGAAGCATGAAAAGGAGACAGTGATTCTCTCTAGCTCAGTTGGTAGAGCATGGGGCTTTCGACGCCAGGATCGTGGGTTCGATTCCCTCTGGGTGCTGGCCACCCATACGAAAAAATATATGCACACATGACTAAGTCGCTTTGGATAAAAGCGTCTGCTAAATGGCATATTAAATATATATATACATTAGAAAGAGGAAGGAGTCATTAAAGACAGCTTATTCCAGTGGAGAGAGGGATTTGGGTGACCAGTATGTGGCGGGTTTTTAGAAGGATTATCTGGCAACGCTGGTCTATAGCTAAATAACACTAATCTGGAAACCCTGGTATATGGCTCAGTAACATTACAATCCTATTATGACTGACTTTCTGGCCCAGAGATCCCACTTTACTGCTGAAGACGTTACACTACCTTAATACCTCATTCACCCTGCTTTTAGTCCTCTCACTCATCAACAGGACTGATTAGCTAGGGGTGAATAATATAATACATTTAGCTGTGACTCATCAACAGGACTGATTAGCTAGGGGTGAATAATATAATACATTTAGCTGTGACTCATCAACAGGACTGATTAGCTAGGGGTGAATAATATAATACATTTAGCTGTGACTCATCAACAGGACTGTTTAGCTAGGGGTGAATAATACAATACATTTAGCTGTGACTCATCAACAGGACTGATTAGCTAGGGGTGAATAATATAATACATTTAGCTGTGACTCATCAACAGGACTGATTAGCTAGGGGTGAATAATATAATACATTTAGCTGTGACTCATCAACAGGACTGATTAGCTAGGGGTGAATAATATAATACATTTAGCTGTGACTCATCAACAGGACTGATTAGCTAGGGGTGAATAATATAATACATTAGCTGTGACTCATCAACAGGACTGATTAGCTAGGGGTGAATAATATAATACATTTAGCTGTGACTCATCAACAGGACTAATTAGCTAGGGGTGAATAATATAATACATTTAGCTGTGACTCATCAACAGGACTGATTAGCTAGGGGTGAATAATATAATACATTTAGCTGTGACTCATCAACAGGACTGATTAGCTAGGGGTGAATAATATAATACATTTAGCTGTGACTCATCAACAGGACTGATTAGCTAGGGGTGAATAATATAATACACTGCTCAACACTAAAATAACACATCCTAGATCTGAATGAATTAAATAATCTTATTAAATACTTTTTTCTTTACATAGTTGAATGTGCTGACAACAAAATCACACAAAAATGATCAATGGAAATCAAATTTATCAACCCATGGAGGTCTGGATTTGGAGTCACCCTCGAAATTAAAGTGGAACACCACACTACAGGCTGATCCAACTTTTATGTAATGTCCTTAAAACAAGTCAAAATGAGGCTCAGTAGTGTGTGTGGCCTCCACGTGCCTGTAAGACCTCCCTACAACGCCTGGGCATGCTCCTGATGAGGTGGCGTTGTAGGGAGGTCTCCCAGACCTGGACTAAAGCATCCGCCAACTCCTGGAAAGTCTGTGGTGCAACGTGGCGTTGGTGGGTGGAGCGAGACATGATGTCCCAGATGTGCTCAATTGGATTCAGGTCTGGGGAACGGGCGGGCCAGTCCATAGCATCAATGCCTTCCTCTTGCAGGAAGTGCTGACACACTCCAGCCACATGAGGTCTAGCATTGTCTTGCATTAGGAGGAACCCAGGGCCAACCGCACCAGCATATGGTCTCACAAGGGGTCTGAGGATCTCATCTCGGTACCTAATGGCAGTCAGGCTAACCTCTGGCGAGCACATGGAGGGCTGTGCGGCCCCCCAAAGAAATGCCACCCCCACACCATGACTGACCCACCGCCAAACCGGTCATGCTGGAGGATGTTTGCAGGCAGCAGAATGTTCTCCACGGCGTCTCCAGACTCTGTCACGTCTGTCACATGTGCTCAGTGTGAACCTGCTTTCATCTGTGAAGAGCACAGGGCGCCAGTGGCGAATTTGCCAATCTTGGTGTTCTCTGGCAAATGCCAAGCGTCCTGCACGGTGTTGGGCTGTAAGCACAACCCCCACCTGTGGACGTCGGGCCCTCATACCGCCCTCATGGAGTCTGTTTCTGACCGTTTGAGCAGACACATGCACATTTGTGGCCTGCTGGAGGTCATTTTGCAGGGCTCTGGCAGTGCTCCTCCTTGCACAAAGGTGGAGGTAGCAGTCCTGCTGGGTGGTTTGCCCTCCTACGGCCTCATCCACGTTCCTGATGTACTGGCCTGTCTCCCTGGTAGCGCCTCCATGCTCTGGACATACGCTGACAGACACAGCAAAACCTTCTTGCCACAGCTCGCATTGATGTGCCATCCTGGATGAGCTGCACTACCTGAGCCACTGTGTGGGATGTAGACTCCGTCTCATGCTACCACTAGAGTGAAAGCACCGCCAGCATTCAAAAGTGACCAAAACATCAGCCAGGAAGCATAGGAACTGAGAAGTGGTCTGTGGTCACCACCTGCAAAACCAGTCCTTTATTGGGGGTGTCTTGCTAATTGCCTATAATTTCCACCTGTTGTCTATTCCATTTGCACAACAGCATGTGAAATGTATTGGTCAATCAGTGTTGCTTCCTAAGTGGGACAGTTTGATTTCACAGAAAGTGTGATTGACTTGGAGTTACATTGTGTTGTTTAAGTGTTCCCTTTATTTTTTTGAGCAGTGTACATTTAGCTCTCACTCTCATCAACAGGACTGATTAGCTAGGGGTGAATAATACAATACATTTAGCAGTGGCTCATCAACAGGACTGATTAGCTAGGGGGAAAAATTTAAAATTTACTTTAGCTTTTAATCAACGGGGGACTTTTTAGTTGGGGGTAAAATAATAAAATTTACTTTTTAGCAGCTTGGGGGGTGATTTGTTTAATGTGGTTAAAAAAGTAATTCAAAATTTAAAGGTTTTTGTTTAAAGAAATAAAAGGAAAAGAGCGGGATAGGAGGGAGAAACGCCAGCCCAGGGGGGAAGAGGTGGAAAGGAGAGAGAGGGGAGGGGAAAGGGGGGAAGGAGAGGAGGGGGGGAAATGAGGGGAAGAGGGAGAGGGGAAAGGAGAGAGGGGAGAGGGGGGAAAAAGAGAAGAGAGTGGGGGGGAAAAAAGGGGAAAAGGGAATAAAGGGAGAGAGGGGGGAAAAGGAAAAGGAGGGGGGAAGAGAGAGGGAAAAGGGGGAAAAGGGGAAGGAAAGGAAAAGGGAGGAGGAGAGAAGGGGGGGGAGGGAGGGAAAGGAGAGAGGGGGGAAAGGAGGAAAAGGGGGGAAAAAGAGAAGGGGGTTGGGGGAAAATTAGAAAGAGGGGAAAGGGGGGGAAAGGAGGAGAGAGGGGTGTGGGGAAAGGGGAGAGAGGGAAGGGGAAGGGGAAAAAGGGGGGAGGGGGAAAGGGGGGAAAAGGGAAAAAAGGAGAAAGAGTGGGGGGGAAAAGGGGAAGGGAGGGGGGAGTGGGGGGGGGGGGAAAGGGGGAGGGGGGGAAGGAGGGGAAAAGGAGGGGGAAAGGAGAGGAGAAGGGGGGGAAAAGGAGGGAAAAGAAGAGGGGGGGAAAGGGAAAGGAGAGAGGAAGGGGGGGAAAAAGGAGGGAGAGAAAATAGCGGGGGGAAAGGAGGGAGAGAGAAGGGGGGGAAAAGGGAGGAGGATAGCGGGGGAAAAAAGGAGGGGGAGAGGATAGGGGGTTGGGAAAAGGGAAGAGGGGTTTTAGGGGGGCGGGGAAAGGAAAAGAGAGATAAGGTGGGGAAAGGAGGGATAGCGTGGGGAAAGGGGAGGAAAAGTGGCGGGGAAAGGAAAAGGAAGAGTTTTGGGGAAAGGAAAGGGGGAAAAGGAAGAAGAGAGAAAAGAGAGAGGGGAGAGAGAGAGGGGATTTGGGGAAAGGGAGAAGGGACGGGGGAAAGGGGAAAGGGAAAAGAGAGCGGGGGGGAAAGGAAGGGGGGGGAAAAAAGGAGGGGGAGGGGGAAAAAGGAGAGGGGGGAAAGGAGAGGGGGGGGGAAAGGGGGAGAGAAAAGGAAAAAAGGGAAAAGAGAAAAGGAAAGGAAAGGGAGGGGAAAAGGGAAAAGGAGAAAAAAAGGGGAAAGGAGGGGGGAAAAGGGGGGAGGGAAAGGGGGAAGGAAGGAAGAAGAGTGTGGGGAAAGGAGAGAGAGTGGGGGGAAAGGGGAGATTGGGGGGAAAAGGAGAGAGGAGAAAAAGGGGAGAGAGAGAGGGGGGAAAGGAGGGGAGAGGGAAAGGGAGAGAGAGGGGGGAAATGGGGAGGGGAGAGTGGGGAAAGGAGGGAGAGTGTGGGGAAAGGGGGAGAGAGTGGGGGGGAAAGGAGGGAGATGTGGGGAAAAGGAGAGAGAGGGGAGAGGGAAAGGAGAGGGGGGAAAAGAGGGGAAAAGGGGGGGAGAGAGAGAGTAAAGGAGGGAGAGAGGGGAAAAAGGGAGAGAAAAGGAGAGGGAAAAAAGGAGAGAGAGAGAGAGGGGAGGGGGGAAAGGAGGGGGAGAGAGGGGGGGAGTGGAAAGGAGAGAGAGAGAAGAAGGAAAAGGAGAGATAGGGGGGAAAAGGGGGGGGAAAAGAGGAGAGGGGGGGAAAGGGGGAGAGGGGAGAGTGTGGGGGAAAAGGAGGAGAGAGAAGTGGGGGGAAAAGGAGGGGGAGAGAGGTGTGGGGGGAAAAAAGGAGGAAAAGAGGGGGGAGAAGGGAGGGGAAAAGGGTGGGGGGGAAAGGGAGAGAGGGGGAGGGGGGGGGAAAAGGGGGGAAAAGGAGGGGAGAGAGTGTGGGGAAAAGGGAGAGGGTTTGTGGGGAAAGGAGAGAGGGGGGAAAAGGAGAGCAAAAAAAGAGGTGTGGGGAACGGAGAGAGAGTTGTGGGGAAAGGAGAGGGGAGAGGTGGTGGGAAAGGAGAGGAAAAGAGAGAGGGGAAAGGGGGGAAAAAGGGGGAGAGGTGGGGGAAAGGAGAGAGGGGGGAAAGGAGACGAAAAAGAGGGGGGGAAAACGGGAGAGGGGGGGGGAAAGGAGAGGGGAAAAGGGGGGGGAAAGGGTGAGAGGGGTTTTGGGGGGGAAAGGAAAAGAGAGAGGGGAGAGTGGGGGAAAGGAGGGGAAAGAGTGGGGGGAAAAGGAGGGGAGGGGAGAGGTGGGGAAAGGGAGAAAAGAGAGGGGGGGAAAAGGGGAGAGGGAGAGGGGGGGAAAGGAGAGAGGGGTGTGGGGAACGGGGGAAGAGAAAGGAGGGTGGGGGAAAAGGAGAGAGCAAAAGCGGGGGAAAGACAGGGAGAGAGAGAGCGGGGGAAAGGGAGAGGGGAATAGCGGGGGAAAAGGGAAAGATAGGGGGGGAAAGGAGGGGGAGAGAGGAAGGAGGGGAGAGAGGGGAGTGTGGGGAAAGGAGAGCGAGAGAGAGGGGAGAGGGCAGAGAAGGGTAAATAGATGAGAGAGAAGGACATGGAAAGAAGGAAGAGAAAGAGAGGGAAGCAGAAAACAGAAGAGATAAACAACACCCACGCTAAAAACCCCTTTTTAAGGGCCACAACCCCCGGCCTCAGTGGGTTTGGCTCTGTGCCCCAAACACATCCTCCCTCAGGGGAGCTCTGGGGCTCCACACATCCCCCCTCAGTGGGATGTCGGGTTGCCCACACTCCTGCCTCAGGGGGAATGCTCTGTGCCCCAAACCACACCCTGCCTAAGGGGGTCTGTGTCCACCCCCTTTGCCTGGGGGATGCTCGTGCTCCACCCCACCCCCGCCTCAGGGGGATGCTTGGCCCCACAACACCCTGCCTCAGTGGGACTGCTCAGTGTCCCACCCCCCTCCGTGGGATGCCCCGGGTGGCCACACACCTGCCTCAGGGGGATGCTCTGGCCCCACCCCCAAAACCTCCTCAGGGGGAAATGCTCTGTGCTCACACACACCCTGCCTCAGTTGAGGGATGCTCTGTGCTCCACACCAAAAACCTTGCCTCAGGGGGATGCCCGTGTCCCACAAAACCCCCTGCCCAGTGGGATGCCCCGTCCCTTCCGGGTGTTTTGCGCAAAAAAGTCATTACCAGGCAGGCTACATGTGGGGGTAATATAACCACACCGAAAACCCGGAACAAACCACACAATAGGAAAACTTGCGGTGGTTGTTAGAGGGGGGAATATAAAAGTGGGGGGTGCAGGGGGAGGAAAAAGAGAGAGAGAGAGGGGGAGAGAGGGGGGGGAGAGAGGGGGAGAGAGAGGAGAGGGAAAAGGGAGAGGGGAAGGGGGAGGGAGAGAGGAGAGGGAGAGGGGGGGCGGCGGGGTACATGATTTTAAATTTAAATTTGAAAGTGAATCATCTTTCCTGACAGGGTCGCAGGTGGCTCTCTGAGGATTTAACACACTGGAGAGAACACACACACAAACCCAAATGAAGGTTAACGAACCATCAAAAGGGAAGTTTTTTGCCCTTTAAGAAAAATCCCCCCTTTTCCAATCTCCCCTTTCAAAACCATCCCTCTCCTAACGAAAATTCTCTTTTTCACACCTGTCCTTTTTCCCAATTCCCAAACTGATTTGCCCACGCACCGTTCATTCATCCCCTCCCATCTCTCTCCTATCTATTTCTCCCCCATTCTCCATCTGATAACCAGCTGCGTTATAAAGAGTCTTTTCCAGAAACCCAAAAGGGTGCATGGGGAAAAAGGGACACCAAAAACCCGAGTTCCCATTTCCCGTTTTTCAGGCAAAAAGGGAATTTTAAAAATCACTAGATCCGCTTTTTTAACCTGACGCCCCCGAAGGCAATTATAATGATTTTGGGGGGGCCCGGGTTTTTATGGTTGTAAAAGGGAATTTTTTACAAAAAATTTCAGGGGGTTCTATGGTTCAAAAGATTCGTATTTTCCCAAAGATTTAGCAGAAACATTTCTTTTAGATTAGATTGGAAAAGGGAAAAATACAGGAAGCTCAAGTGGAAAGGAAAAAAAAGAGGACGATAAGAAAAAGGGAAAAGGAGAGAGAAAACACAGCTCCTTTGGGTTTTTTGGGGGGGGGGAAATTGGGGCTCAAAGTGAGCTTTTGGGGTTTAAATAGCCCGAACATTTTAAAGCTACCCAAAGTTTTTCCCCCTATAAAATTTAAAGGGGGAGGGGGAGAGAGAGAGGGGGGGAAAGGGGAAAAGAGAGGAGGGGAGAGGGAGGGGGGGAGGGGGGGAGAGAGAGGGAGAGGGGGAGAAAAGAGAAAAGGGGAGGGGGGGCGAGAGAAAAATAAAAAAACAGTGGGGAAAGGGAGATACAGACCCAAAGGAGCGGGAGAGAGAGGAGTGGGGAAATTTTACGGCATTTAAAGGGGAGCATTTCCCTTGAACTCCCCCCATTCTGTAAATTCCTTTTTTCCTCACTTCAATTTGCCTTTAAATTTAAACCACTTTGCGAAAAAGCGGGAGCCCCAGCGAGAGAGAGCGGAGCAAGAAATCATAAAAAGGGGGTGGGGGTGATTTACGTCCTGTTTCACAATGTAAAGGGGTTTTAACACGCATTTGTGCAAATTGGAAAAATTTTTTTTTCTCCTCCTACCTTTCTTTACTCTATCTTTCTTGTTTCACACTTCTTGTTTTCCTCGGTTCTCCATTCTCATTCTCTCTCAGTCCTCTCCTTTCACTCTCCCTAAGACAGACCATCTCTGTGTTCAGTCTATCTGTGTGTGTGTGTGCAAACAGACCATTTCTACAGTGAGTTTCAGTCTGTCAGTATCTATCTTTAGGGTACCTAAAGCCTTGTTCACACTGCAGGCCTTAATGCTCAAATCCGTTTTGGAATACTGACCGTCCAAACAGCAAGTTACAAGTGACCAAATCGGACGTGTGCGTGTTCAGACGGCAGTCATTTGCTGTCATGGCTACGCTAGTTGTCATAGTAACAGCCAGTGTGTGTGTGCAGTGGTGTAGGCTGATTGGTGGTGGTGCGCGTGCTTCCTATCAAATCAGAAATTATGTAGCAAGCTAAGGCGACAACAATGCCTGCCATGGACGTTTCTCAGTTGCATTGAATGTTCAAAAGCATAGTGTAAGAACACTTAAAGTCTCAAAGGAAAAGATGATCCAACTTTCAAACGAGTCCTTATTTGGCTAGCCACAGCAGCCAACTAGCTAGCTAGGTAGCTGTTTAGCTTTCTAGCACATTCACTAATTAGTTTGTAAACGATTAATAAGCTACTTAGCTACCACGTTATTGTTAAACTGACAGAGTATCTAGCAAGCAACAAGATATGCCAAATAACAGTCTAAAAACCATGGTTCAGACAAGTCGCATGGCCAGGAATCAGATTTGTATCGGACTATCAGATTCCGTATGCTTTCTCGCTGTACAGACTGCAGGAAAAATAATCAGATTTGAATCGGATATGCAATAAAATAGGATTTTAGTCACTTGAAACTACCAATGTGAACAAGGCTTAAAACAGACCATTTCTACAGTGAGTTTCTAACTTATTAACATCAAATATCACTTGAAATGAGACAAGTTTATATTAAAAGCAGTGCTTGACTTGGGCCGGAGCGCCGTCCGGCTCCACTATAAAACAAAGTAGCCTATCGCCGGCCAGGAGCCACACACCGAGGCAAAAAAGGTTGATCAAATCGGAAAGAAGGCGGGATCTGCAGTGAATAGCAATAGACAGTGGCCAGTAATTTCCTAAATCCTGATGTAAAGCAGTTTTGTGCTGTCTGAATCGTCTATAGCTGGTCGAATCGGGATAGAAAGTGCAAATGAATGACAGCGGAACATAGTCCAATTGTGATAGAAGGGGAGGCGGCAGTAATTTTAGAATTGTTATGAATCTAGCTTTAATACTAATAGAACTACTATAGAGGACTTCAGGATAGCTTTATTAATGGTTTTATAAGAGCAGAACGGCAATGACGGTTAGAGAGAGGGAGGTGCGAGGTCAGAGGAGTACAGTAATTAGAGGTTTACGAATGTCATGAGAATGGGAATAGGCACGGAGATTAGAAAAAAGAAGCTCGACTTGAATAAGTAGACGATAAAAGCGACTTGGTTAGATTAAAAGAGAGTAGAGGACAGGTAGATTAAGTGACGATAATTTCGCAGAGATAGAGCGAACGTAGAGGAGAGAGCACGAACAGGATAGAAGAGAAGAGAGGAGGCTTGAGTCAGAACCTAGCAGTAGAAGCATGAGACGTAGGAGGCAGAAATTTTTTTAGAGAAGAGAGAGAACTGAGGTGAGAGAGAGGAGGCCGACGGGTAGAGAGAGAGAGAGAGGCCGACGGTTAGAGAAGAGAGGTTAGAGAGAGAGGCCGACGGAGTTTGAGAGTTTAGTAGGTAGGATTAGAGAGATAGAGAGAGGGCACGGAGTTATGAGAGAGAGTATAGAGGCACGATTAGAGATAGAGAGGAGAGAGAGAGGAGGTTTTAGAGAGAGAGAGAGAGAGGGAGAGCGAAGAGAGAGGCCGACGGTAGAGAGAGAGGCCGACGGTTAGAGAGGAGAGAGAGAGGCCGACGGTTAGAGAAGAGAGAGGGTTAGAGAGAGAGAGAGGAGGCCGACGGTAGAGAGAGAGGAGGCCGACGGTTTTAGTAGAGAGAGAGAGAGAGGCCGACGGTAGATTAGAGAGAGAGAGAGAGGCCGACGGTAGAGAGAGAGAGAGAGGCCGACGGTAGAGAGGAGAGAGGAGGAGAGAGCGAGGACGCGGTTATTAGAGAGAGAGAGGGAGGAGGGAGAGGAGAGAGACCGACGGTAGAGAGAGAGAGAGAGGCCGACGGTTTAGAGGAGAGAGAGAGGCCGACGGTAGTTAGGAGAGAGAGAGAGAGGAGGCCGACGGTAGAGAGAGAGAGAGAGGCCGACGGTGGTAGAGAGGAGAGAGGAGAGGAGAGGCGACGGTAAGAGAGAGAGAGAGGCCGACGGTAGAGAGAGAGAGAGAGGCCGACGGTAGAGAGAGAGAGAGAGGCCGACGGTAGATTAGAGAGAGAGAGAGAGGCCGACGGTAGAGAGAGAGAGAGAGGGCCGACGGTAGAGAGAGAGAGGCCGGACGGTAGAGAGAGAGAGAGGCGACGGTTAGAGGAGAGAGGCCGAGGGTTTAGAGAGAGAGAGGCGACGGTAGAGAAGAGAGAGAGGCCGACGGTAGAGAGAGAGAGGCGACGGTAGAGGAGAGAGGCCGACGGTTAGAGAGGAGAGAGAGGCCGACGGTTAGAGAGAGAGAGAGGGCCGACGGTAGAGAGAGAGAGGGCCGACGGTTAGAGAGAGCAGAGAGGCCGACGAGAGAGAGAGGAGAGAGGGCCGACGGTGTAGAGAGAGAGAGGAGAGGCCGACGGTTAGAGAGAGAGAGGAGAGAGAGAGGCCGACGGTTAGAGAGAGAGAGAGAGGCGACGGTAGAGAGAGAGAGAGAGGCCGACGTGTGGGGTGAAGGTAGAGAAGAGAGAGAGGCCGACGGGTAGAGAGAGGAGAGAGGCCGAGGTAGGGCGAGAGAGAGAGAGGAGAGGCGACGTGAGAGAGAGAGAGAGGCCGACGGGAGAGAGAGGAGGCCGACGGTAGAGAGAGAGAGGATGAAGGTAGAGAGGACAGTTCTTGCCAGTTCTCCAGTATAAAGAATGTTTTCTTTCTGCATGAACCCTTAATGAGAACAGCCTGTCACCATGAGAGAACAGCCTGTCACCATGAGACAACAGCCTGTCACCATGAGACAACAGCCTGTCACCATGAGAGAACAGCCTGTCACCATGAGACAACAGCCTGTCACCATGAGACAACAGCCTGTCACCATGAGACAACAGCCTGTCACCATGAGACAACAGCCTGTCACCATGAGACAACAGCCTGTCACCACGAGACAACAGCCTGTCACCATGAGGATCAACAGCTGTCACCATGAGGACAACAGCCTGTCACCACTGAAAAGCTCTTACCCAGGACCTCCTGTGAGGGAGGCAGACTGAGGCTGGTCTCTCCTGCAGTAGCAGTAAGTGGGATAGCTCCCCCTGTCTGCAGTGAGCGGAGGTGTTCCCTCAAACACTCCACTTCTGCCCTCAGAGCCTCCACTTCCTCCACACGCTGCTGTTTGGCCATGCTAGTAGGGTTCAGACTGAAGTGGAGGACTTTGGTTTTGACCGGGTTGTAGTCTCCCTGGAGAGAGGTAGGGGGAGAGAGAAGACATGCTTTAGAAACACACAAAAACTGCTTCTGACCAGAATGTCGGTCATTATTTTGCATTCATTTTCCTGACAACTCCACATGTTGAATCAAACAGCCACCAGCAGGTGATCTCTCTAACACACCACTGGGACAGCAAGAGATAGGACTACCACTCGCTGCTTTTAGATGTTGGTCTTCCTGGTGTGTCAGCCTTAACCTCCACTGTCTTCCTGGTGTGTCAGCCTTAACCTCCACTGTCTTCCTGGTGTGTCAGCCTTAACCTCCACTGTCTTCCTGGTGTGTCAGCCTTAACCTCCACTGTCTTCTGGTGTGTCAGCCTTAACCTCCACTGTCTTCCTGGTGTGTCAGCCTTAACCTCCACTGTCTTCCTGGTGTGTCAGCCTTAACCTCCACTGTCTTCCTGGTGTGTCAGCCTTAACCTCCACTGTCTTCCTGGTGTGTCAGCCTTAACCTCCACTGTCTTCCTGGTGTGTCAGCCTTAACCTCACTGTCTTCTGGTGTGTCAGTCTTAACCTCCACTGTCTTCCTGGTGTGTCAGCCTAACCTCCACTTCATACAGTATTCAGTACTCCACGTTTCTGGTGGAGAAACTAGTGAAGATTCTCCAAGACACACAGATAGCAGACAGACACATAGCAGACAGACAGATAGCAGACAGACACATAGCAGACAGACACATAGCAGACAGACACATTGGGCAGCTAAGACCAGCATAGCTGGACAGCAACATAGCAGACAGACACATAGCAGACAGAGACAGGCAGACAGACACATAGCAGACAGAGAGACAGGCAGACAGAGAGCCAGGCAGAGCAGACAGGTTCCCTCCACCATGCCTACCACAACCGCCCAAATTCATCGTCTCTCTTCTTTGAGTAAATTAGGAGTCTAGCTTACTAAAAAGGTCACAAGCAGCAGTTTTATCTCAATACACAAATCATTCGGGAACAATTAAGTACCATAGCAGGCGATTGTTCAATTAAAAAGGTCAAACAAGAGAAACAAACAATAGACTTCTTAGCAACAGGGCAATTTCAAGAAGAGAGATGTTGCTTTGACGGCACAGGGCCTTTAATAACAACACATCACAGTAAGCACTCCACACTTCCTAAGTAGTGGCTAACATAGATTTTATTGGCCTGGAGCGGACGCTCGCACAATAAAGGAGAGGGGAATGAGGGACCTGAAGGAAAAGAGCGCATCTACGAAGGAAGACATCAAGGACAGCAAGAAAAGCAGACAACAGATAGAGAACATACGACTTCGAGCAACAGTATGAGAGTGAGAGAGTAGGTCTCCACCTGATCCTCCACCTCCTCCACTTTCTCCTCTCTCTCTTTTCTTTGTGTAAATTAGGAGTCTATCTTATCTTAAAAAGGTCCAACGCAGCAGTTTTTATCTCAATAATTAAATCATTTCTGGGTAACAATTAAGTACCTTGCTGTGATTGTTTTCAATTAAAATGGTCAAAAAGAAACAAAAATAGCTTCTTAGCAAAGGGCAATTTCTCAAGGAAGAATGTTGCTTTGACGGCACAGGGCCTTTAATAACAACACACTCACACTAATGCCTCCATCTCTCTCTAATTAGTGGCTAAATTAGATTTTATTTGGCCTGGAGCGACGCTCGCCCAATAAAGGAGAGGGGAATGAGGGGTGAAGGAAAAGACAGATCTAACGAAGGAAAACATCGAAGGACAAAGACAAGAAAAAGAACAACGTGACAAAGAGAAGTAGAGAATTTATGCTTTTTGACTTTCGTATGTATATATACACCTGTAGTGATGCGGTGAGGTAAGATGTGGGTGTTGTGTGTGTGTGGTGTATAACAACCTGTAGTGATGGGTGTGTGTGTGGTAGTCACGTGTGTGGTGGGTGGTTGTGGTGTTGTAGGTATACACCGTAGTGATGACGGTGTGTGTGTGTGTGGTGTGTGTGTAGGTATACCCTGGTGTGTGATGTGGGGTGTGGTGTTGGTGTAGGTATACACCTGTAGTGATGACGGTGTGTGTGTGTGTGTGTGTGTGTGGTGGTGTGTGTGTTGGTGTGTGTAGTAACTGTGTGATGGTGTGTGTGGTGTGTGTGTGTGGTGTGTAGGTATACACCTGTAGTGATGACGGTGTGTGTGTGTGTGTGTAGGATACACCGTTGATGGGTGTGGTGTGTGTGTGTGTGTGTGTGTGTGTGTGTGTAGGTATACACCTGTAGTGATGACGGTGTGTGACCACTCAACCACACTGACCAGTGCTTGAAGAGGACTGAACCAGATGCCGGTACTATTTATATTTAAGAGCCGGAACGCTTTGATATATTTTTAAGCCAGTATTCTATAAGGTTCCGGAACCCAGTACCGGTGTGTTCCGGCCCGGTCAAGCACACGACTCTCCTTCCCCTAGTTTCTAAACTTAGTGTGTGAAGTGGAACTTCCTAGTTTATCCAAGCCGGACACAGATTGACTAAAAACAGTGATAGAATATTCACACACACTAAACACAGAGACAGAAGAGGCACGGATGTGACGGTGTTTTTCTTTTTTTTTAGGGAATACCTAGGAGCGCTTGAGAGAAAACCATGATGCGGAAGGGCTGAAACCGAGCCGAATTAACTAGCCGACTATAATTGTCAGAGAAAAGGGAAGAGAGGGCGTAAGGAATCTCTTTCCGTTGTACTGAAGTCAGTGGGACTTCCTGTTGTTTATCACCATCGGAACAGGTCTGACTAAAACATGTCGTTTACACTCTGGAAGGTCAGGCTGGCACTTAGTTTTTTCTCTAAGGACGGGAAATTTACCTTGAGCAACTTTAGGAGAGGGAAAAACGTGAGACTGAAGGAATCAGGGGAAATATAAACAGCCGTAAAGGGTTACTACAATATAACTGTCGTGTCCCAGGAAGCGGACAAACTGTCTTTCACCCATTTAAAGTAGCGGTACATATAAAAATGTTGTTAGCAATCTATTCCGGAAGGTAGGTTGGGCTACAAATAAACCTGTTCCTGTTTAGACTTATTAGGGAGGAGGTCGGGTATACTATTAAACACATCGCCTACAGGAAGTAGTCGGGGCTACATAAAACACTGTCAGTATATCACCCTATCAAGGAAGGGTCAGGATGGGCTACCATATTTACCATCTGTTCTGTTTAGTGCACCCTATTCTAGGAGTCAGGTCCGGGTAAGGATATTAAACAATCCTGTAACACTCCTATTCTAGGAAGGTCATGGGGCTACAACATAAAACACCGGTTCCAGTTAGTCACTCCATTCTAGGACAGGCAGGTCGGGCTACAATATAAAACCACTGTCCATGTTTAGTCACTCCAGATAGGGGGAGGTCAGGTGGACAGGAATATAAAGACACGTTCCTGGTGTCAACCTATAGGAAGGTCAGTCTGGGCTACAATATATAAAACACTGTTCCTGTTTAGTCACTCCTATTCTAGGAAGGTCAGGTCTGGGCTACATATTAAAACACTGTTCCTGTTTAGTCACTCCTATTCTAGGAAGGTCAGGTCTGGGCTACAATATTAAACACTGTTCCTGTTTAGTCACTCCTATTCTAGGAAGGTCAGGTCTGGGCTACAATATAAAACACTGTTCCTGTTTAGTCACTCCTATTCTAGGAAGGTCAGGTCTGGGCTACAATATAAAACACTGTTCCTGTTTAGTCACTCCTATTCTAGGAAGTTCAGGTCGGGGCTACAATATTAAACACTGTTCCTGTTTAATCACTCCTATTCTAGGAAGGTCTGGGCTACAATATAAAACACTGTTCCTGTTTAGTCACTCCTATTCTAGGAAGGTCTGGGCTACAATATAAAACACGGTTCCTGTTTAGTCACTCCTATTCTAGGAAGGTCAGGTCTGGGCTACAATATAAAACACTGTTCCTGTTTAGTCACTCCTATTCTAGGAAGGTCAGGTCTGGGCTACAATATTAAACACTGTTCCTGTTTAGTCACTCCTATTCTAGGGAGGTCAGGTCTGGGCTATATATTAAAAAACACTGTTCCTGTTTAGTCACTCCTATTCTAGGAAGGTCAGGTCTGGGCTACAATATAAAACACTGTTCCTGTTTAGTCACTCCTATTCTAGGAAGTTCAGGTCGGGGCTACAATATTAAACACTGTTCCTGTTTAATCACTCCTATTCTAGGAAGGTCTGGGCTACAATATAAAACACTGTTCCTGTTTAGTCACTCCTATTCTAGGAAGGTCAGGTCTGGGCTACAATATAAAACACTGTTCCTGTTTAGTCACTCCTATTCTAGGAAGTCAGGTCTGGGCTACAATATAAACACTGTCCCTGTTTAGTCACTCCTATTCTAGGAAGGTCAGGTCTGGGCTACAATATTAAACACTGTTCCTGTTTAGTCACTCCTATTCTAGGAAGTTCAGGTCTGGGCTACAATATTAAACACTGTTCCTGTTTAGTCACTCCTATTCTAGGAAGGTCAGGTCTGGGCTATATATTAAAAAACACTGTTCCTGTTTAGTCACTCCTATTCTAGGAAGGTCAGGTCTGGGCTACAATATTAAAAAACACTGTTCCTGTTTAGTCACTCCTATTCTAGGAAGGTCTGGGCTACAATATTAAAAAACACTGTTCCTGTTTAGTCACTCCTATTCTAGGGAGGTCAGGTCTGGACTACAATATTAAACACTGTTCCTGTTTAGTCACTCCTATTCTAGGAAGGTCAGGTCTGGGCTACAATATAAAACACTGTTCCTGTTTAGTCACTCCTATTCTAGGAAGGTCAGGTCGGGGCTACAATATTAAAACACTGTTCCTGTTTAGTCACTCCTATTCTAGGAAGGTCAGGTCTGGGACTACAATATAAAACACTGTCCCTGTTTAGTCACTCCTATTCTAGGGAGGTCAGGTCTGGACTACAATATAAAACACTGTCCCTGTTTA